ATCAGTTGCTGTTAATTATAAGCTTGCTGTTGCCCTCAGCTCCTGCTTGCGGGATTCCCAGAGGCATCGGTTTGGCCGCTGTCAGAACGGGATGCGGGACTAAGTTTTAAACACCTTCTCTTTACCTCAGGTGTTTTGAGACTGGCCGTGTTTACAGTTATAGTATGGAGCCAAAACCCACGTACATTCTTTTCTTTCTTCTTCACCTGCCTGGGGGAGAAGGGACTTAGAAGGCCTCTTGCCCAACTACCTGGAGCTGGTAAGTAGGTCAGGCTTTTTGCGAGTGCTGCCTGCCAAGTGTGGCATTCCGACTCCGATAGTTAGCAGCTGGTGCAACCTCCTGCTAAATCACTGGGTAGAGGATACAATTTACACATGCAAATTGCTTCAGTCCCTGGCAGTCCCTTCCCGGGTGTCTGCCTGGAAGTGTCCAACTGCCTGCCGATTGGGTCCAGCTGCTGTTGGACTGCAAATCCCACCAGCCCTAGTCAGCATAGCCCGATGGTCAGGGATGATGGAAGCTGTAGTTTGCCAACACCCAGAGGACACCACATTGTAGAGTCAGTCACAGCAGACAAGACTGGGATAGTGCTTTCAGTATGGGACGCGGGTGGTGCTGTGGCCTAAACCACTGAGCCTCTTGGGCTTGCCAATCAGAAGGTCGGTGGTTCGAATCCCCGCAACGGGGTGAGCTCCCATTGCTCTGTCTCAGCTCCTGCCAACCTAGCAGTTCGAAAGCACAGCAGTGCAGGTAGATAAATAGGGACCGCTGTGGTGGGAAGGTAAACGGCGTTTCTGTGCGCTCTGGTTTCCGTCACGGTGTTCCATTGCTCCAGAAGCAGTTTAGTCATGCTGGCCACATGACCCGGAAAGCTGTCTGTGGACAAACGCCGGCTTCCTCGGCCTGAAAGCAAGATGAGCGCCGCAAACGCATAGTCGCCTTTGACTGGACTTAACCATCCAGGGGTCCTTTACCTTTACCTAGTGCTTTCATATGGAAACCTAGTACAGTGGTACCTCGGGTTACATATGCTTCAGGTTACATACGCTTCAGGTTACAGACTCCGCTAACCCAGAAATAGTACATCGGGTTAAGAACTTTGCTTCAGGATGAGAACAGAAATCATGCAGCGACGGCGCAGCGGCAGCAGGAGGCCCCATTAGCTAAAGTGGTACTTCAGGTTAAGAACAGTTTCAGGTTAAAAACGGACCTCCGGAACAAATTAAGTACTTAACCCGAGGTACCACTGTATTGCAAACAGGTTGTTCGGATTCAATTCAGCTTTTCTGTGCGCACCCTTGGCAAATTAATCTCAGCTTAAAATGTCTGTACTGGCAAGGAGGTGCTCTCTGGGGTTTCAAGTAAGGATGGTACAGGAAACTGAACCTGGGACCTTTCGGGAGTGGAGTACATGCTCAGCAAGCTATACCCATGGCCCTTCCTAGCTGATCCCGAGACTGGATTTGTTTTGATGCTTCAGAACTGTCGCCTGCTGTTGGAGGTGTTGATCTTGCCCTTGCCTGGGGCTGAATCCTGGAGGCAGGATGGGCGGGTACCGCTTGGGGAACAGGTCCCGGTGCAAGCTGGAAGGCGTGTTAGCTGAAACAGGAATGTGGAAGCCGAGTGGGGGCAGGTGGAGCGGACACCCAGGGAGTTCTTATCCCCAGCCATCAACCTCAGGCAACCTTTCCCATTTTGCAAAAGCAACAGCTCTCTCATTTTTTTATTTTTGCACAGCGGATGCTGTCAGAGCAGGATTTGGAGGCAGGGGCCCAGAGCTTCCCCCCACAAACACCTCACCAGACGGAATATGGGGGACTCCTCCAAACACAGCAGGGCTGGCTTAACAGCACAGCAACATCATACATTAAAAACCACCTAGCTTCCCTGGGAACTGTAGTTTGCCCCTCAAAGCTACAATTCCCGCCACCCTTAACAAACTTAAGTTGCCAGGATTCCTAGGAGGAAGCTTTGTGCTTCAAATACTTGGTGCGAGGTAAAAAACACACCTTTAAACCAACATACTTCAACCTTGGGTCCCCAGCTGTTGGATTACACCTTCCATCGTCCCTGACCATTGGCTAAATTGGCTGGGGACTCGCAGTCGAGCACTGCTTTGTAGAAACCACTGCCCCCTCCAATCTCACACACAGGCTTAATTTCGAGCCACAGATTTGGTTGCTGTGAGCCTCTAAGCAGCTACAGAGTGCCACTTACTATTGGGGTATCTGCAATTCGTTAGCTAATCCACGTCACAGACAAGGGGTGGCTGATTAAGTCAACTAGAATCTGCACAATTCCTTGGTTGGGGGTGCCCTTTCCCAAATGTTCAGCACTCTGTGTCTGGTCAAAAGCAGTCCTTTTTGTGCCCTTACAGTGGTACCTCGGGTTACATACGCTTCAGGTTACATACGCTTTAGGTTACAGACTCCACTAACCTAGAAATAGTACCTCGGGTTAAGAACTTTGCTTCAGAGTGAGAACAGAAATCGTGCAGCGGCGGCGCGGCAGCAGCAGGAGGCCCCATTAGTTTAAGTGGTGCTTCAGGTTAAGAACAGTTTCAGGTTAAGAACGGACCTCCGGAACAAATTAAGTACTTAACCCAAGGTACCACTGTAGTTCAGAAGACCCCTGGTGGCAAGAGGGCCAGGTCACAGGGTGTACTGTGTGGGGAGAGGATGAGCCCCACTCAAGCAATAACTTTGGTGTGGGGGACGTGGGGGGGGGAGGAGAGAACAAGCTTAGACGCTTGTTCCCCCCAGCCTTGTCCAATGCCTGCTTAAGTTTAGGAAGTGCAAACACCCTACGAACCCCTTTCTCCTGTGAGAAACTTGCCATGGTTTTTAGAAACAGAAACTTTCTAAACTGGAGGCTAGTTTCAGATACAAGAAGGGCAACCCCTCCCCTCCCCAGTTTTGGACCGGGGAGCTAACCTGGGGAGACAGGCTCCTTCTCCAGATAAGATCTCCAGAGCAACTAACGGAGGCGCTGCCGTGGCAGCTACGCCCGGCCCTGGGTGCGAAGGGAGGCTGAAGGCAAGAGCAGGCTTGCAGGAGTTTCGTTGAGTAAGGCCTGAGTAACAGTTCATGTAACCGCTCACTTTGCCCCCTCCCAAAAGGTGAGCCAACAGTTTCCAGCAAAAACTGTTTTCTTCCAACAGGCTGCTTAGGCACCGTGAGCCGTGAGCCGTGCGCCCGAGAGATGCTCCCTGGAGCTGTTGGCACCGTTCCCTTCCCTGACAGCTGAGAAGCTGAACAAAGGCCTCCTCCCCTTTCTTTATTTTTTCTCAATTGTGCAGTTCCGGATTGCAGGAGAGACCTGTGCTCTGGCCTGGGAAAAGAAAAGGACCGTGTTTTTCCTGGGCCCAGCTCAAGATAGCTGTGTTTTTAAAGCAAGGATAGAGAACCTGGGGGCCAAATGAAGCCCTGCTAGGTCTCAGCGCGGAAAGCTATAGCATTTGCATGGCTGAGATGTAGTCTGCTGTAGTCTGTTACTCGGCCAACATTTGCCTCTGGCACTGCACCTCCCGAGTATGTGGCCCCTGGGAGCTTTCCTATGACAGAATGTGGCCCTCGGGCGGCTAAGGGTTCCCTTTCCCCCTTTTAAAGGCTTGCACTAGGGATAAGGGGACCTGTGGCCCTCCAAATGATTTACAGTTCCCACCCTCCCTGACCGCTGGCCACAATGAATGTCTGAGGGACAGCTTTCTCCAGTACAGCCTCGGGTTTTAAGCTCACCTGTTGAAGTCCTGAGCCAAGTTCTAGCCTCTTGTGGGCTGCAGCTGTGACTTACCTTGCAGGTCCTTTTCTTTGGTGGCTCCGGGAGTGATGGAACATGCTCTCCCAGGGACACAGGGAACAGCTGGTCCATCTAGCTCTATGCTGTAGACACTGGCTGGCAGCAGCTCTCTGGAGTTTTCCTAGTCCTACCTGGAGATGCTGAGGATTGAACGAGGGACCTTCTGTGTGCAAGGAAGGGGCTGTGCTTTTGAGCTACCGCCCTTCTGTGCGTGTTCTTTCCTGGTCCTGCTTCAAACATAATTAAATAACTAATAATAATAATAATTTTGGAATTGGTCTCAGAGCATGTGCAGAGTGTCTTTCGCCAGCGCTCGTCCTCGGCGGGCTTCATAGGGGCGGGATTAGAGGAGAGACCTCCCAGGACAGGCAGCAATGGCTTTCGGAGGAGCCTTTTAAAATAATGAACCCACCGCCGCTTCTTCCAATTGCTCCTCTCCTGCTCTGCTCCGCCGCTGCTCCGCTTCCCTCTAGCGGCGGCCGGCGGGATCGTCGGGAAGGGAAGTCGGAAGCGCCGCTTTGCCCGGGACCGGAGATCAGCTGAGCGGCTGCAATTGCAAAAGCGGAGGTAGAGGAGCGAGCGAGCCCCGCAGGTACGTGTGGGTCGCGACTGGGAAGCTGTTGCATTTGCGTGCAAACGGTTCGTGGGGGTGGGGTGCGTTGTCCCACACTTTCCCTGGCCCCACAGAAGCCCCACCGCCCTGCACCTCCACGAGTCCATGTTGTTTGTAGGTCTCCCTCCAGGCGCACAAACTTTCTGTGGATCCAGACCTGGCCACCCCCCTTCCGTGGGGTGGGGCGGCGCACCATCCTTCCTACAGCACCCTATGGAAGTCACTTTCTCTCCTCCCCTGTGCAAAGGGGTTTTCTCCCAGCCCCACACAATGCGGGCCCCATTTCCTGTAGCGGGGGAGTATGTGGCCCCCTAGATCCCTGGAGGATCTCGGGCCAGTCCTGCTCCCTCGGCCTGGTCTATCACACATACCGGTAGTTGTTGTGAGGCTAAAATGGGGAAGAAGGGAACCGTGCACAACCAGCTGGAGCTGCTTGGAGGTGGGGTAGAAATGCATGATGGGAGTTGTAGTCCAGCAACATCAAGAGGCCACAGGTTTGCCTGACATATTATTATTACATTTCATAGAATTGTAGAGTTGGGACCACGTGGGTCATCTAGTCCAGCCCCCTGAAATGCAGGAATCTTTTGTCCAACATGGGACTTGAACCTACGGCCCTGAGATTCACAGTCTCATGCTCTACTGACTGAACTACTCTCACTCCCTGTCTGCCTATGGCCCAGAACTCTATGGGGCAGCCATTGCAATAGCCAAGCATCTTTCTTTCTTTCTTTCTTTCTTTCTTTCTTTCTTTCTTTCTTTTATAGGGTTTTTTTTGGGGGGGGGTATAAACAAGAATAATGTTATACAAATAAGTATACCAAGTTTTCTCATGTCATTTGTATACCGTATCACAAAAATAGCATAACAAATGTGGAAAAATGTCTACAACTTATGTTTCACTATTAGGGTCAATGCATACGTTCTTGGTTCATGAATTGGTTTAAACAATTAGGAAGAAAGAGGGGGAGGGGGGCTTTGTATTATTAATAATGATAATAATTAAATTGGTAAAGGTAAAGGTAAAGGGACCCCTGACCATTAGGTCTAGTCATGACCGACTCTGGGGTTGCGGTGCTCATCCTGCTTTATTGGCCGAGGGAGCAGGCGTACAGCTTCCGGGTCATGTGGCCAGCATGATTAAGCCGCTTCTGGCAAACCAGAGCAGCGCACGGAAACGCCGTTTACCTTCCCGCCGGAGCGGTACCTAATTATCTACTTGCACTTTTGACGTGCTTTCGAACTGCTAGGTTGGCAGGAGCAGGGGCCAAGCAACGGGAGCTCACCCCATCGCAGGGATTCGAACCACCGACCTTCTGATCGGCAGGCCCTAGGCTCTGTGGTTTAACCCACAGCGCCACCCGCGTCCCTAATTAAATTTGTATACTGCCCTTAATCTGCAGTTCTCAGGTTGCTTCACAACATAAAAATGCAACCCCTCCTCCCTTTTCCCTTTCATTCTGCATGGGACACGAAAGTCCTCTGCTGTTTCTCCAAGCAGCTGGTATTTTAGAGGTTGACTGCCCCTGAGGCTGGCAGTTCCACTCATAGACTTGTTCTTCCTGGGCAGAGATTTGCTTTAACAGGACTGCTGCCACAGGAAGCTGCCTTATAGCAAGGCAGGCCAACGGTCCATCCACCTCAGCATTGTCTGCACTGACTGGCAGCGGCTCTCCAGGGTTTCTGGCAGGGAGACTCTCGCAGCCTTACCTAGAGACACCAGGAATTGAACCCAGGACATTCTACATTCAAAGCAAGCGTTCTGCCACTGAGCCACATGGGCCTATCCACCCCTAGCAGGACGGTTCCTATTTATGTGGAATCCCGCATTGATGAATTGCTACCAATTTAAGGCCTCTGAAATGCCCTAAATGATGCCCTCTGGGGTGACCAAAGCAGGACGAGGAGGAGGTGGCCCTCCACATCCTTAAGACTAGGGTTGCTACTAAGTGGGATGTGTGAAGGCCCATCATCCATGAGCATGACTAACATTCTCTTTCTTTCCCCCTAGTCTTCTGTCGGCCATGGGGTCCAGGAGCGGGGAAGGCTGGGCCAGCGCAGTTGCTTCTTTCCGCTCGTGCCCCACAGCCTTCCTCTCCCATGGGGCTGGCGACACCTTTGTGGCCGAGCTGTTGCAGGAGCTCCGAGGCGAGAGGCTGGGGGAGCAGATCAAGGTACGTGAGACCCACGGCTTAGAGGGTGTTTGTGGGTGGGGTGAGAACATGCCTCTAACTTTCCCCCAGCACCCACAAAAGGGTAAGTTGTGAGACTGGCCTTGTCGCTCATTTGGGAAGACCACCCTGTCAATGAGCCCACTAAAACCACTAGTCTGGAGAGGAGGAAAAGTCTGCAAAGAGTCTCGCTCGCAGGTCCACCAACCCTCCAGTATGGCACCCACAAAAGGTCTTCAAGTAAACATCTCCTCAAAAATCCACAATGCACGAGATTGGGGTGGGCAGCAACACACCATTTTGTGTTCCTGTTTCTTTCCCTGCTCTTTTAGACACGGCTGCCATTTGGGATGTGCTGCGTTGCCCGTGGCGGCCATTTTGTCTTAGCCGCACATCACACGGCTGCTATTTTGTGATCAGCTTCCTCAGAATTCGGAATGTGCCCACTGGTGTACAAAACCGTGAATCAAACCAATCTGCACATGTACCCCATGTAAATGCAATGTGAACACCAACAGATACTTATAACACAAGGTAAAAAACAAAACAAAGAGGCAAATAAAAAACTCAAAACACCTAAAGAAGGAGGATGGGGGAGGGGAGAGAAAACATTTCAAAAAGCTATAAATATTTGTTTGTTTGTCTCATTGATGCTCACTGAGTGGGGATTTCAACACTGCTCAGTGTCGGACATGCCCTCTCATGTAGGGCCTTCTAAAGACTTTTTTTCTTTTTATATACTTAATTTAATTAAATTTTCTGTTTTACAATTTAGAATGCTCATTTAAGTATCCTTAAAATATCAGTGACTTCCCTTCTTCTCTTTCAATGGGTCATTTTGCATATCATAAATCCCTGCATATTTTACAAAAACTAAACCATTCAGTATTCCATTATTAAATCCATCAAAACTTATTTACACTGTTGAATTTATCTTAGGGCTGCCGAAGTTTTCAAGTGTACACAATTTCCCCCCATATATTCAATAAACGTTTTCCAATCTTCTCTAAAGTATGTTCTTCTTGTTCTCTTATTTTATATGTTAAGTCTGCAAGCTGTGCATATTCTGTCAGCTTAAGTCTAAAGACTTGGGTTTTTTTCACCTGGCTTTCCCTGACAGCTTCTTCTTTTCCCCCTTCTGGACAGATCTCCATGTTGACCCTCCTTTTGGAGTACCCCACCCTGTTGTGCCCAGATGCCAAGGCAGGGCAAGAGGTGGCCGCGTCCCTCCTCTCCCTCTTTGGCCAGCTGGGCCCCTCGTCCAAGCAGCAGGCATATCTGCGATGCCAACTCCTCTATGCCATGGCAACAGTACTTGTGGCCACAGACTCCTTCGCCGAGAGCTGCCAGGCTGCCCATGAATACTTCTCCCTGCTGCTGCAACTGGTGTCTGACCTCAACGACTGCCGTGGGGGAGCCGCGGAGCGCCCCGTGCGAGTCGCGGCTTGCGAGTGCCTGCGGGAGCTTGAGAGCTGCTACCCGGGGCTCCTCTCTCAGCGCCTGGCCGTCCTGCGCTCCCTGCAACACCAGGAGACGTCGCCCGCCCACCAGGGCTACACGCTGCTCTACGGGCTGGCCTTGAGGAACGCCATCTTGCGCTTGGCCAGACGGGGAGGCCTCGGGACTCTGGGGGAACTCCTGGAGAGCAAAGAGGGACTGGTGTGGGAGGCCACGAGGGAACTGGGGGACCTTTCTGTGGCAACCCTCGAGCAGCTGGCCCTGCTCCCCTCGCCGGGCGACGTCAAGGACCTGAAAGCTGTGGTGTCCTCCCTCCTTGACAGCTCCTATCTCCTGTCCTCTGTGGCCCAGAGCCACCTCCTGTGGCAGCTGGCCCAGGCCGTCAGCGTTGTGCGCACCCAGTCTCCCGCCATCTTTAAGGCGCAGCTGGTACGCCTCTTTGGCACGGCGGCGGTGACGCTCCAGCATGCCGTCTTGCAACTCAAGGGCCTCTTCACTGACAGCCTCTTCACGGCTGAGGACGAGGCCTTCCTGCTGCGCCGCCTCGTGGGTCTGGCCCAGCACCCAGCCTTGCCCGCCCCGGTGAAGCTCTTCCACTTGGACTGCCTCCTGCACTTCCCTGAAAACCGGCCGCTGGGCTCGGCCACGGAGGACGAGGGCCTGCCGGTCTTGCTCACCCCTCGCACCACGTCCGGCCTGTTCCCTGGACTCTTCCAGGACCAGGGCACGGTTTTGGCCCGGCTGAACCTGCTGTGCCTGGTGTGTGTGGAGAGCGAAGGCCCAACGGCCGAGCGCGCTGTGGGATACCTCCTGGAGCACGTGTTGACCCTCGGGGGGCTGGTGGCCAGGGGAGGAGGACCGGAGGCCACCCGGCTTTTCTTCCGGGCAGCCTTCTTATTCGCCCGCTACTTTGGCTCCCGAGAGCAGCCAATGGCAGAGCTCACCCAGTGCCTCTTGGGCCTGTACCGCCAGAACTGTGCCCTGGCGCCGAACCTGATAGATCTTTTGGACGAGGCGTGGAAGTTTCCAGAAGAGGGCAGCTGGGCCAGCAGGCTGGCCCAGGCCTTGAAAGGACTCGTTGTGGGCGTTCCCTTGCAAGAGGAGGACCTGCCTTGGCACCTCAAGGTCTTGGCGCGGCTGGCAAAGGAAAAGGACATCCCTCAGGGCAGCACCATGCAGTTCCTGAGGCGCCTGGTAGCCTCGGGCCGCCTTGGGGGCTGGCGCTCAGGCCAGGTCCTCCTGAGCGTCTGCCGCAACTTGATGCAGCTGCGCCCGCTGCCCGCCCCGGCCCACTTAGCCGACCTCCTGCAGGCTGTGTCTCTCAGCCACCTGGACGTGGACGTGCGAGACCGGGCTCGGTTCTACTACACCTTGCTGGCCAACCTCTCTGGTGAGAAACTCGGGGCTGTGCTGGCTCCAGGAGGTGCTGTCAAGGCCCGGACGCTCTCCTCCTCCATCGTGGCTGACAGCCAGAGCTTCGTGGCCTCTCTGACTGTGCACCCGGTGCAGCCAGCCCCACTGAGGCTGCGGCGGGTGGGGGCGAGCGGCAACAGGCCTGAGCAGGCCCCTCACCCTGAGCAAGACGTGGAGGGCTATTGCCAGTGGTTGCTGGAGCCCCGCTCCCCATCGCAGCTCAGCTTGACGTACCAGCTGGTCCACACGGGTCCTTCAAGCCCCCCCTACGACCTCCTGCTCTGCGTGGTCCTTCGCTTCATGTGCTCGGACCGGCATTATGAGCCCATCCCAGAACTGTGCGTGCCCTGTCTCTCAGCAGCGCGCCCTCCCCGGACGCTGACGCTCACACTGCAGCCACGTTGCCCCTACCCGACGCAACTGGATGTTTTTGCTGTCTACACAACACAGGAAGGCCTTACGCGCTCCAGCCAGCTGGAGCCGTTGGAGGTAGCCTTTCCCGATCTCTTCATGCCCCTGGCGGTGCCTTCCTGGAGTTTAGAAAAGCGCCGCCGTCTCTTTGGCGCCCTCTGGCAACGCCTTCACCCTGACAGCAATGAAGCGGGTGCTGAAAGCCTCACCACCTGGCCTGTGGCACCTCAGTCCCTGCCATCCCTGGTATGCGATCACTTTTCCCGGTACGTTTTGGCCGAGCAGTCGGGCTCCTACGAAATTGGCATGGCCCTCCCTCCCCAATACCACATTCTCCTCCGGGTGCAGAGTGTGGGAGAGGCGGCCTGCGTGGGCATTCGCACAGACAACTGGAGACTGCTGCCCTCGCTGAACAGCTACTTGCAAAGTCTTGTGGAAGCGAATTGAAAGAATGGATTCCGGGGGGTGGGGAGGAAGCCCGCAAGGTAACGCGGTCTGGGCTTGTATATCTGTTAAACATTTTGGCATTCCCAAAATAAATGCATATGTATGGCTATATTTTGCAAGTCCGATAGAAAAGGGTGTTGCGATGACCAAGACCCAGCCAGCCTGGGTTTCTCAAAAACAAGGCATGCCAGACAAATCTCATTTCTTTTCTTTTTCTGATAGAGTTACAAGCTTGGTGGATCAGGGGAATGCTATGGACGTAATGTATCTTGATTTCTGATAGCTCAGCCGGTAGAGCATGAGACGATCTGAGGGTTGTGGGTTCAGACTGCACATTGGGCAGAAAGATTCCTGCATTGCAGATGGCCCTCGTGGTCCCTTTCAACTCTGCAGTTCTATGATCAAAAAAAGGGACGTTGTGTGTGTGTGTGTGTGTGTGTGTGTGTGTGTGTATAGCCATCCCAGCTCCTGCCTGCCTGCGCTACCTCCTGCAAAAAGTCTCAGTATATATCTCCTCAAATAATGCTGGTGCTGGTGAGACCGTGTCCTCTTCCTGCTCAGTTCCTCTTTGCACTGGCTCGGCCTCTCTGGACAGGGAATGTGTCTGCTTAAGCACGCCCACATTTCACTGGATGCCAGGACAGGACCTTCTCCCTCCTGCCTGTTCTGAACAGAGGAGAGATGCAAAGACCTTCTCACTATATGCAAGTGCAGTGGGGGACGCAGTGAAGAACTGTGCTGTTGCTCTCAGGTCCTTCTCTTGGGCATCTGGTTGGCCACTGTGGGAACAGGATGCTGGACTAGTTGGGCCGTTGGCCTCATCCAGCAGGGCTGCTCTCGCATACATCCCCTCACCTCTCCTGTAGTGCCTCTCTCTTCCACATGGACATGTCTGATCTCCCCCATTCCAGGATAATTTTGCTTAAAAGCCATTATTATTACTGTTATTATTATTATTTGCATATTTACAGGACAGATCTAAAGGCACATAAGGCCCCTACTTTCCTGAAGCTAAGCCACTCTGGGTATTGTTGGTGGCTGCATATGTAAGCCACAACCTTCACAATGAAAGACCTTGGGGTCCCTTCCAACTCGACAACTCAAATTTTGAGTCTGTGACCCACAGAACTCAAAAGAACAGGCACCTCCACAGCCACAGCTGATTCAATAGAAGCTGGTGGCCCCTTCAGGGACCCTCTGCAGGTTGGGTGGAGAGGGGGCAGTCTTTGTGGAGGGTGCTCTCAACCTAGTGCCCTCCAGATGATATCAGACTACAACTCCCATTAGGCCCAACCGGTGCTGGCTGGGGGTGATGGGAGTTGTAGTCCCACAACATCTGGAGGTCACCAGGTTGCCAGAAACTGGTGTAAACGGTGGCCGGGGGTGGGGGGGAGTCTTGACAGTGAGGCCCCAAGTGGGCCTGCATTCCTCCAAGGAATTTGTATATGGTTCTTTCTTCCCTCACACTCATTTTACGCTCACAGCTAACCTCTGGGGAGGGAAGGCCTATGAAAAAAGAAAACAGATGTGCCCACTGCTTCCAAGTATTTGAACCTGCAGCTCGCCATTCCTAGCTGAACACACACACCACTGACCAAAAAGTTGCTCTCCCGCTTAGATTTAAATCTGAGCTGGAACAGATTTTCCCTTCAACTAAATCTGGGCTCCCAACTAAATTGGACTCCAACTCCCATCAGTCCCAGCCTGCATGGCCAATGGCTGCCAAGTAGGGATGAAGGGGGTGGAATTCAGTTTGCATTTAAAGCTGGGTTTATCAAGTTCTCATGTTCTGGAACCAAAACGCAACCACCCATCACACTTTTGCATTTGCCCCAAATTCGCTATTTTGCCATTCTCCTGCCAAACAAAAATGCGCATGGGAACTGTTCATAAAAACGGGTCTGGGTAAAAGGCGGATCTACACGGATCCTCATGGATCCTCCACTTTTTAAAAAATAACTCCAACAAATGCAGTGTCAAATCACACCTGGAAGGCACGATTACAGACTGGACTATAAAAAGTGTGGATCCAACACTTTACCGCGCTGCAGCACCACAAACACATGGATCCGAGGCACGGATCCTCATGAATTCATATGATTTTTATATTGAAACAAAATAAAAACACCATGATACTGTAGACCACATCTTAGTCTGTAGGCAGAACCAAAAAAATCACGCATCCACTGTTTTGGGGGGCCGCAGGGGCGCAAAAACATGGTTTCAAAGCACGGATCCTCATGGATCCTCATGATTTTTGCACTAGATCAGCCCAAAGGCAGCATCAGATCAAACATCATGACCATGGGCACAGCATGCAACACAAAAATCACGGATCCACAGCTTCCTGGTTGTACCGTGGTACAAAAACATGGTTTTGAAGCACGGATCCTCATGGATCCTCATGCTTTTTGCATTGGGCCAACCAAAACTCACCGTCAAATCACACATCATATCCAGTGGCACAGCCTGCACCACAAAATCACGAATCTACGGCTTCCTGGCCGTACCGTGGCCCAAAAACGTGGTTTTGAAGCACGGGTCTTCATGGATCCTCACGCTTTTCGCATTGGGCCAGCCCAAACTCACCGTCAAATCATGATTTTTGCACTAGATCAGCCCAAAGTCACCATCAGATCAAACATCATGGCCATGGGCACAGCATGCAACACAAAAATCACATTCCAAGGGCCACATCCCTGTGGTGGGCAGGGCCCTTGGGGAGAATCCCAGCAGACAGAGAGGTCTGTAGGGCCGCATCTGGCCCCTGGGCCTGAAGTTCTCCACCTCTTGGAAGCAGCTGGAAACGGCTATGTCAAATCCAGCAACTTTGCACATCCTAGAGCCCCTTTCCTTGCGCTCACCCCTGGGGGAACCCCAGATGCCTTGGAAAATGCGCTGCCAATGCAATGAAGAAGAAGAAGAAGAGTTTGGATTTGATATCCCACTTTATCACTACCCGAAGGAGTCTCAAAGCGGCTAACAATCTCCTTTACCTTCCTCCTCCACAACAAACACTCTGTGAGGTGAGTGAGGCTGAGAGACTTCAGAGAAGTGTGACTAGCCCAAGGTCACCCAGCAGCTGCATGTGTAGGAGCGGGGACGCGAACCCGGTTCACCAGATTACAAGTTCACCGCTCTTAACCACTACATCACACTAGCTCTCAAAACAGTCTCAAATGAGGCAAAAACAGGCCCTCTGAGCCCGGCTTCGGCTGGGAAGGGCGGGATATAACTAAATTATTATTATTATTATTATTATTATTATTATTATTATTATTATGGTTTGCTCATTGTGCATATGGCTTTAGATACCTATTAGGTCCTATAAATTACCATATAGCATATATTCAACACAAAAAATAGCGACACTTTGTTGTTGACCAAGAACAGCTGGACATATAAAGGGCCCCATTACCTTTAGTAGCTTAAAGGTAAAGGTAAATTGACCCCTGACCATTAAGTCCAGTTGTGACCGACTGGGGTTGCAGCATTCATCTCGCTTTATTGGCTGAGGAAGCCGGCGTACAGCTTCCGGATCATGTGGCCAGCATGACTAAGCCGCTTCTGGCAAAACCAGAGCAGCGCACGGAAACGCTGTTTATCTTCCCACCAGAGCAGTACCTATTTATCTACTTGCACTTGATGTGCTTTCGAACTGCTAGGTTGGCAGGAGCTGGGACTGAGCAATGGGAGCTCACCCCGTCACGGGGATTCGAACCGCAGACCTTCTGATTGGCAAGTCCTAGGCTCTGTGGTTTAACCCACAACGCCACCTGCGTCCCTTTAGTAGCTTAGGGCCTCATCAAACCTAAATCCGGCCCTGGTTGGTTGCCAAGCATCAAGCTCCCAATCCTATTAGCATCTTTTCCCCGCAGGAGACCAGCCAAGGGCCTTCAACCCCACTCTTTATCGAACACCTGCAAAATACAATCACTTCCTCACTTCAGCCCATCAGACATTCCCTTCAAAATATGCTGAACATTCCCTTCAAAATAAAGTAAGTTTCTAGTCCACATGGTCTTGAATAAAGGACTGGCTTATATAGGAATCTGTCTTATACCGAGTCAGACCATTGGTCAATGCAGCTCAGCACTGTCTACACTGGCAAGCGGTGGCTCTCCAGGGTTTGAGGCAGGGGTCTATCCCACCCCTACTTGGGATTGAACCTGGGAGCTCCTGCTGCACACAAGGCCAGTGCTTTCCCACTCAGCTACTGCCCTTGCCCTCCTGCCAGAGACCCGCCTACCCCTTCCCCATCTCTCTACAGGAGCTGGTATGTATGCTGGATTTGAAACAGGGCCAACGAGTGCTGGATGTTGGCTGCGGACTCGGCGGGAGTGACTTCTACATGGCTAAGGTACAAGCGCAAATAAACCTTTGAATAAGAATGGTGACGGCGGTTGGCCCTGGCAGCCTCGCATGGTGCTTCCACAGAGTACAAGAGGATGGGTCTCTACTCCCAAGGAGCTTACACAACTAAAATCCAACACAAGGGGGAAGGGGCTGGCTGGAGCTGATGGACGTTAGCTTCCCCACAGCTTCTGGAGGGCCACAGATTCCCCACCCCAGGTTTACAGAGCAGCGGAAAAGAAGGAATGATGCAAGAGTGCAACTTGTGACATCACAGTATTGCATCATCAGCCATCATTCCATCTTCTATCAGACTGTATGGCCTTTTTGACATGCATGCCATCCATGTCCCTTATCCCAGAAAACATGGGTTGACTGTGAGCATAAGAAAAGCCTGTCTGCTGGATCAGGCCCAAAGTCCATTTAGTCCAGCATCCTGTTCTCACGGTGACCGCCAGATGTCTGTAGGAAGCCCCCAAACAGGAGAAGTGCTGCTGCAACTCTCTTCACCTGCAATTTCCAGCAACTGGTATTCAGAGGCTGGAACACAGCCATCCCAGCTAGTAGATACTGATAGTTGTATCTTCCATGAAGTCTATTTAAGGTTTTATAGGTCAAAACCAGCACTTTGACTTGGGCCTGGAAACTGACTGGTAGCTACTGCAGTTGGGCCGAGATCGGTGTAATATGCTCAAACCGCCTTGCCCCAATGAGCAACCTGGCCACTGAATTCTGCACCAGCTGAACCGTCTTCAGAGGCAGCCCCACGTCTAACACCTTGCAGTCATCTAACCTAGACATCAGATTACTGCAATGGGGAGGGCTGACTTAAGACTCTAGTGCTGGCAGTGACGTAGCGTGGGAGGGGGGGGCACGGGCACACAATTGTTAGGGGTGCAAAATTTCAACACCCGGTGCTGCCTCAATGCAGCTAAGCACTTCCATCGCTGGGCTCCATTGAAAACAGCTTCTCCATGCGAACGAATAATAATAATAATAATAATAATAATAATAATAATTTTATTATTTATACCCCGCCCATCTGACTGGGTTTCCCCAGCCACTTTGGGTGGCTCCCAACAGAGGACTAAAACAGAATAAAACTTCAAACATTAAAAACTTCTCTAAACAGGGCTGCCTTCAGATGTCTTCTAAAAGTCAGATAGTTGTTTATTTCCTTGACATCTGATGGGAGGGCGTTCCACAGGGCGGGCGCCACTACCAAGAAGGCCTTCTGGGCCTCACTTCTCGCAGTGAGAACTAGGGAGTGACCTCTCCAGACAATGGAACGACTCTTCTTATCTCTGTGGCTGTGATCTCCTGGGTGGCGCGGATACTGTTAGACAGCTGAATGTGCATGCATTCTCCATCTGTTTCCCTCTCTCCCACCACCTCCTCTGGGCAGCCCTGGGCACTGGCAACTCACGCTATGCCACTGAGTGCTGGAAGCTCCTGTTTACTCCATGATGGCCCCATATTTTTTTTACGGGGAGGGAATTTTTTAATGGTATTTTCAGCAGTGACAACATAAAAATATGACAGCAAGGATATAGCAAAAGAGGAGAGCAGAAAGGAAGGAAGGAAGGAAGGAAGGAAGGAAGGAAGGAAGGAAGGAAACCATACAAAACAGGATTAAACGATCTCCCATTCCCAGAATGTACATTATAAAACTCAAAGCATTAAACCTCCAGACCACCACATTTTAAGTAAACCTAAAAGAAAATGAGTTCACGGACAGGCTATGATTATGGTCCCATCTTTGAGCTATCTTCTAGCCTTGAGGTGGCCTGACTCTTTCCTTTCCTCCCAAGGAGTTTGGCGTGGAAGTCCTGGGCATGGATCTTTCCCACAACATGGTGGAATTGGCTTTGGAACGAGCGCAAAAGGAGACTGGATCCTTGGTAATGATGAGGGGAAAGGGAGAGGGAACCAAAGGAAGCTGCCCTATTATACTAGTTATACCTATTTCAGGTCCACCTGACTGATAGGGGGCTCTCTGGGGTTTCAGGTAGGGTAGACATTCCCAGTCCTACCTGGAGATGCTAGGATTGAACCTGGGACCTTCTGCACGCATTGCTGATGTTCCATCACTGAGCTACAGCCCTTCCGAATTAATTAAAGGGAATTAAAGGGCATCTAGACTGTAGCAAACTGGCTCAATCTCATGTCAGCAAATTCATGTTAAGCTGTTAAAGCTGATTTGGTGCTTTGGGGCAACAAAGAGATGGGGAGAGATTCGTTTTTGTTTGCATTTAAACGAGAAACTACCCAACTTGCACTTCTCAAATCAATACTCAAACCAGAATACAGCTGTCCTTCACAAATGCTCACTTCTCTGAGTTTTGAGTTGCAGTTCTCCAACCAAGAACTGTGTACAAGCATGCACACATCAGTAGCAAGTGTGCATAGAATGCGCATATTCATGCAAGCAACAAATATATTTTATATTAATTACGTGCAAAAATATGTACAAAACTGAATGCAAAAATGTGTGTATTAGGAAGAAATTTGCACTAAAATACTGATGAATTTTCATCAAGATTTTTTAATGTTTAAAAAATCTCTCAAATTGCTACGTAATTCATCCCAAAAATTTTTTTAAAAAAAATTCACAAATTGATATGGAATTCATCAAGACTTTAAATTGTTTTTAAAAAATCACAAATTGCTATGGAAATGCGGAGAACTGAATTTAAAATTGGAAGAATGAGAAACTGAGACAAACTGAAATTAACAGATTGCTTCATCCCTAACTGCTTCCCCTCCCCCAAACTGGACTTTTTGCATTAAGGAAAGTTACAGGAAAAAGCACTGGGAAGTGTGGGATAATTCTAGTTTCAAAGAAACAACCTCCCCGAAAGCAGAACAGAAATGAATGCTCATTCAATAGCCAATATTGTTGAATCTCCCTGCAAAGATATCAGGATAAACAGGTCATCTGGAAGCAGCTAAGCAAGTGAAGGCTGTGTACACACCATACATTTAAAAGTACATCACTCCATCCCCCTCCCCCCAAAAATAATATTCTGTGAACTGTAGTTTGTTAAGGGTGCTGGGAATTGTAGCTCTGTGAGGGCTAAACAGCAATTCCCAGGATTCGGGGGGAGGGGAAGAGCTAAAAATGTATGTTGTGTAGCTCTCTAAGTCAGCCATCTAAAAGGGCAGAGCTCCAGTTTTTTTTCATGGGAGCTTGGGTGAAAACACTTCCTAGGCCAGGAGTGTCCAAACTTTTTTCAAAGAGGGCCAGATTCGATGAAGTGAACATGCATTAGAGCTCACCAAAGTTGCTGAGCTTTTTTTTAGGATTGAAGTTGTTGACCTTCTTTTACGATTTTACCCCAGGAAATTAACTGCCACAGGGGCCGGATTAGGCCACTGGGCCAGACTTTGGACATGCCTGTCCTAGGTGGATCAGCTGCAATGCTACTTAGTAGGAGAGGCTGCTGTTTGGATTTCACTCCGAAACGTTCTTGTGCCGGCTCTGCTTCTAGGTGCAGTTTGAAATTGGCAATGCCACGCGAAGGACGTTCCCAGAGAACACCTTTGATGTCATCTACAGCCGGGACACTGTCCTGCATGTGCCAGGCAAGAGTGCTCTCTTTGCAAAGTTCTTGGTGAGTCTCCTGCCTCTTAACGTGCAGAAAAATACAAGCAATTCAGCCTCGCATCATTGGGGGCAGCCCTCTGGCGGAATCCAAAAACTGTGTTTTCCCCCAGTGCCCTAAAATGAAGCAGCGCTCAGAGTACATGGGAAACAGCAGTACTTTATTTTATCAATGCCCTTAACAAGCGGTTCGTGCCCAATGAGTTTGGTAGGGCCAGGCTTGCCATGCGTCAGGAGAAACCCTGACCTGTCCTGGTTTTCGGGTGTAAAAATGGTGTGAGGGGGGAAACCCGGATGTATGGCAACGCGATGGAAAAAGCAGCAGAAACAGCTCCCAAAGCTCAACAATTTTGGGTTCTTCCTTAAAAAAAAAAAGCTCACCAACTTTGCAGGTGTTAGGAATTTTGCTTTTTGAAATATGGCAACCCCAGGTAGGGCAGAAGGCAGGGAGGCTGACATTAGGTGGCGATAGAGCCACTTACATTCTGGTTTTGCCCCTATCTTCCTTCCTGCTGAGTTCTGTGAGGAAACACACACAAACAGGAAGCAACCTTTGGTCTAAACGTAACAAAGGGCTTGTCCAGCTGCTACCCCCAGGAAAAACTGCTCTTTGGTGTTCAGTTGGAGCAAACAGCAATCTATATTTTCCCCGGATTGACGTTTGTTCCAATTTAGCACTAAAGAGCGGGTTTTTCCCAGGCAAGGATCAGGGCAAGGGGGAAACCACTCTGACTTGTGCTTTCCAGGCACACCTCAGATGCATCATCAACACCTTTTGCCGTTCTAATGCCTCTCTCCCAGGTGAGACCTTAGCTTGGAAAGAAAGCTTAGTCTATATTTTTCCACTGGCCTCCAGTCTTCCTTTCAGTACTCCAAGCAATCAAAATCCTACCATTTAGCAACTTCTAGGGTTTAAAGAGTTCCCCCTTCCCTGCAAATCTATAACACCATGCTGTGAACCTCCCTGAGATCTATGGATAAAGAGTGAAGAATAAGAATAAGAATAAGAATAAGAATAAGAATAAGAATAAGAATAATTAATAATAATATAATTATTATAATAATTAATTAATAATAGTATGCAGTCATACCTCGGGTTACAGCCGCTTCAGATTGCGTCTTTATGGGTTGCAGACCACCGAAACTCAGAAGTACCAGAACGGGTTACTTCTGGGTTTCGGCAGTTGCGCATGCGCAGAAGCGCCGAATCGCAACCCGCAGACGCAGGTTGCGAACGCTGTGGGTTGCGAACGTGCATCCCGCATGGATCATGCTTGCAACCCGAGCGTCCACTGTAATTATAATAATGGTATTCTGGATTCTGTCCCACCAGCGCCCTCTGCCCTCAGATCTTACCCAGCCATCTCTCTGTCTCCTCTCTAGTCGTAGCTGAAGCCAGGCGGGCAGCTTCTCATCTCTGATTATTGCTGTGGGCCTCGCCCCTGGTCAAAAGCTTTCACGGAGTACGTCAGACGGAGGGGCTACAGCCTTCTCACACGCTGGGAATATGGCCAGGTATGGGTGTGTGTGTTTGTGAAAGAAGGCAGGCAAGTAAGAAGGCCATAGCATGTGTTTTATTTAGATTAAGGCTGCATACCCTATTTGTAGCCCCAAAACATAGCTTTTCTCAATCCAGAATCGTTCATGATCATCCTTAACGTGCTGCTTTCAGTCTAGGGCAAGGGTTTTCAACCTTTTTGAGTCCAAGGCTCCCTTGACCCACTGCATTCTTTCTGTGGCACCCCTGTGGGGCTCAGGAGCCCAGTTATGTCACCCCTTGCCTGCAGAACCCACAGCCTCTCACCCTTTTTCGAACACCCTCCCTTGTGTTTAGTGTTCCCTCTGCCTCATTTCCTCTCCCCTCTCCTTGGGAGTCCTTTGGCCAGCCGTTGCTGCCACTCCTGGTCTCTGAGCTGCTCCCCACGCCCACCCCAAAGAGAGGTGTCTCCTCACACTGCCCCACCAGGGGCTGGGGCTTGTCTGTCCATTCCCAACAGCACGGGCTGGAGGGCTGGCTGGCTGGCTGGGCTCCCTCACCTGCTTGCTTGCTTACTCCGAGGCCACCTCAGCTCCTGGCAACCAGCCAGAGGCACCATTCGCCTGGGGGGCTTGTAGCCAGGGCTGCTGCAACAAACAGCTGTGCAAGCCTTTGGGAGGCAGAGACGTGAGAGGGCATCAGAGGGAGGGAGGGAAAGAAGGAGGGACAGAGGCCAGTGTTGCCCAAGGCACCCCTGAGCACCATTCAAGGCGCTCTAGGGCATAGCTGTCAACTTTTCCCTTTTCTTGTGAGGAATCCTATTCAGAATAAGGGAATTTCCCTTTAAAAAGGGGAAAAGTTGACAGCTATGCCCTAGGGTGCCACAGCACACTGGTTGAAAACCACTGCTGTAGGGAATGTGATCGTATAAACAGGCTCCCGAAAGGCTGGGTGTGGTAGGGGTGGGAGCCATTGATTCTGGCAGAGCTGAATTCAGAAAGGTCCCTCACCTCTCATCCTCATTGCCAACACCTTCCAGGTGCTGCTGGAGGCTGGATTCAGGCAGGTCCAGGCGTTGGACTATACAGAGCGGATGCTGTCAGCTTTGACTCAAGAGCTGCAAGAGCTGGAAAGAAGTCGGCAGCAATTTGTCCAGGTGGGTTGGCAGATTGGAGATGAAGCAGCCTAGAGCTGAGCTTGTCTCTCTCCCTGTGTGGCTGCACACACACACACACACACACACACACACACCTGTTGAAAACTGACAGACTTGGACCACAGGCAGGAGCAGCCTGTCCTGTTTTGTCTCCCCTCTGCCAAAGCCTCGCTTACCAGGGTCACACGGCTTTGGCTTCCAGCTTCCGGGGAGATCTTGCCGAAACCTGGAAGCCAGAGTCACTTCTCCGGTGACAGGGAAAAAGCGAGCAGAAGCAGTGGTAAGATGTCGCCGGAAGCTGCCTCTGCCGCTTCTCACTTCTCTGGTGGCAGGAGCAGAGAATCGCCTTGGGATTCCGCCGCCCGAGGCAGCTGCTTCAGTCTGTCTCATGGGTGGGCTGGCCCTGACCAATGATGGCGCCATGAAAACAAATATTGGGAGAGAGCAAGGGCATTTCGGAGGACTGGGCAAGCAGTTGAAAAGGGCCGAAGTAGAACCAGTGACCTAGGCTGGGGTACAATCTGTCCTTTTTATCATGTGGCATTATGGCCACTCAAAGTAAATAATGCTGTGGTGGTCATCTTTGGATGAGGCGAGGCAGGATTTCTCCTTTTTATCAAAATGCAGGACAAGCACTTTTAGAATATGATGTTTTAAGCTTTAGAACTTCTCTCTCTCTCTTTTTTACAGTTGTAAGTTGCTTCGAGACCTTTTATGAGCAACAAATAGGTGTAATTAATTGTAATAATCCTCCCCCCCCCAGCAGGCGGGAGCTCCAGGCAAGCAGATTTCAGACAAACATTAGGCAAAACTTCCAAGGGAGCGGAGAGCGGGCAGTATAAATATTTCTACTGCACCATGAGGACATTTACAATTCCTTCTTGTTCTCTGTTTATTTACAGCATTTATATTGTGCATAATCATAGCATTTCTGAGCAGTGTAAATAAAAACAAACCATACGGTGATGGGGGGGGGGGGACAACATGATTCAGTTTGAATTTAAAGACGAACCTACCTAATTTGCACTAACTGGAACAATATGTGAACTGAAACAGAGCTATTCTTGGAAATTTGCACTTTTCTGGATTTTGCAAAGCAGTTTCTAACCAAGCAACGTGTACAAAAATGCAAAAATGAAGGTAAAGTGTGCATAAAAATGCACACCTTGGTGAACGGAAGCATAAAAAATGCATTTTGAGGGGAAATATAAATATATGGGGAAAGACGCTTTGCAAAAATGCATGCATTAGACAAAAATACTTAAGAAAATGTGTATGTTGGGAGAAATTTGTACTGAAATGCTGATGGATTTTCACGAGGACTTTAAAAATAAGTCTCCAAACTGATGTGCAGATGGAAACAACTGAACTTATGCTTGGGAAAATGAGAAACTGGAAGAAACCTCAATTGACAGATCTGTCCCCTCCCTAGACAGAGAACAAAACAATAAATTTCACCCCACCAGGGATTGTGACTGACTCTTCTCTTTCTTCTCTGCCTAGGAATTCTCAGAGAGCGAGTTTGAGTCCTTGGCCTCTGGATGGAGGGAGAAGCTGCAGCGCTGTGCGGATGGGGACCAGCGCTGGGGGGTCTTCTATGCTCTGAAGCCGCAGTAGCTGCTGCCCCACCCCCAGCCTGGGGCGGTGAACTCCTGTCCAGCCCCAGGAGCTTTTTGGCCCAGCAAGCTTTTAATAGCATTTGCTTGTGTTTTCTTCCTACTGCTGCCTGGTCAGGTTTCAAGTCTGGATCCACTGCAAGAGTTTGTAAGAAACTTCACCTTCCAGTCTGGATTTTTGCTGGCCTTTCAGTCAGATTACTTGGCTTTGCTCTATTCCAGGTCTGGCTGCAAGTGTGGAAGGATTTCTCTCTCTCTCTCTCTCTCTCTCTCTCTCTCTCTCTCTCTCTCTGTTTCTTCCCTTCTTCCCTCCTTCTTTCCTTTCTTTCCCTCTTACTGGAATGATCCCCTCCTCTCCCTCCACATCTCTGTTCCATCTGTTTCGGTTATTAAAAACTTACTACATTTTCTTTATTTCCTTGTTTATACCACATTTGTGGGGAACCTCTGTGAGTATGTGTAGAAACTGCCTTGCGGTATACAAAATGTAAAATGCTTATCTCTCGCTCCAACCATTTTTACCTCAGGCCTCAATCTCCAAGCGGTCCCAGGGCATTTTCCTAAAAGGCAATGTGGCCCTCAGGCTCCCAGTTTAGTTATTTGTTTATTTTCTGATGTGCCACAACATTCTGGGAAAATAAAAACAGTGGCAGCAAATTGCTGCCACCCAGATAAACTCTCCCATCACCAGGGGAAGGTGAAAATGCATCCCCATCATTGGAGTACCAGAAATTCCTCATTCCTTGTATACACCAATGACAAAACTCCTTCTCCTGTCACCAACCCCAAGAGGGAAGTATTGGCAGGATTACAGAGCCTCAAAGTTTGGAGAAGTCCAAAAAAATCTCTTAGGAAATGTCTTATTTCTGCAGACACTCTCAAACCTCTGTGTCTCCTCTATCCAGGCAAGCAAGTCATTTTCCTCCCATCCCTGCAAAACCATGCTGTTACGAGAACCAACCCAGGTTGTCACGTTGAAGTCCTATAAACCCACCAGCAGGGGGCAGCAGCTCTCCATCTGATCAATAAATCAGTGCCGGGCTGCCACAGTCATACAGTATTTGGAAACGGCAGAACATCTCTGAAACTCATGGTTCATGCCACCTGCCTGAACTGTCTGAGAGCTGATAGGTCCCAGTATTGGGGAGAGGGCTGAACCTGGAGGACTTTGGGCTGGGACAGGGTGAGCTCTCTATCCTAGACCTTACTGTTCAAAGGGTCTGGGGTGTGGGTGGGTCTGTGGATGCCGTAGCCTCCAACATTTCTCCGATGAAGATAGGGACATCCTAAGGAAAAGCAGGACATTCCGGGTTCAAATCAGAAACGGAAACGGCTTCTCTAAATCACGGACGTCCCTGGAAAATACGGATACTTGGAGGGTCTGGGATGGCTGCTTTAGTTGAGATTCTTGTATTGCAGGGGGTTGAACTAGATCAGGGGTCAGCAAACCTTTTCAGCAGGGGGCCAGTCCACTGTCCCTCAGACCTTGTGGGGGGCCGGACTATATTTTGGAAAAAAATAATGAACGAATTCCTGTGCCCCACAAATAACCCAGAGACGCATTTTAAATAAAAGGACACATTCTACTCATGTAAAAACACACTGATTCCCGGACCATCCATGGGCTGGATTTAGAAGGTGATTGGGCCGGATCCAGCCCCCGGGCCTTAGTTTGCCTACCCATGAACTAGACGACCCAAGGGGGAAACCTACCAACTACAATTCTATAATTCTATGCTGCTTTGCATGTTGTAGAGTATTGATTTTTTAAAAAAACAACAACCAGTAAGTGAAACGGAGCTGGATAGACAAATGATGGCAACTTTCATACACTAATATTTGGAGACAGGCCATAGTTCAGTGGTGGAGTGCCTGCTTTGTATGCAGAGCTGTCTGGTTCATTCCCTGGTACCCTTTCCAAAACCCTGGACAGCCGCTGCCAGTCAGTGTGAGTAACACTGAGCTAGATGAACCAAAGGTCATAACCAAGTACTTTCTTGTTCCCCTGTCCCTCTCACGAGATTTGTTAGCATATAACCATGAGGAAGAAGTGCTCTCTTGGTAACTCTGTGCTGCTTCGCCATGGACAGAACACATTTTTGTAGAGGCTTGTAAAATGCAATATTTTATTTGGAGGAAACGGCAGGAATCAGCCCAGAGGCCATATCTACTGAACAACCAAGACATTTCCCTTTTTATATTCTTTATTGAAAGATTAAAAAGTACATAATTGCAAGTGCACAGTGTTAGATAAGACACAAAAGAAGAAGAAAAGATAGGACCCATGTAGAAAACAAACAAACAAAGTTGTGGTTAACCAGACCTTAACCTAATACAGTATTTATAAAAATGAATTCCAAATATCATTGAATTTGTCCATGGCAAGTCTACGTTTAGGACGAGCTAAGCCGTGTAGCTGCTGGATATGTAACATATGTTTTCTACAATATTGATAAGTTTTTGGCAGAAGGTAGTAGGGACGATCAAAATGACTGTACAGAATGATCTCAAATTTGCAGAGGGAAATATGCTTTTGGATTATACATGGAACCTAACAAAGGGACAATATGAGTGGAATCTCCATGCCCTTACTATGGCAAAAAGACAGGTTACTGACTAACTGGAAGAATAAAAATGCAGCTGCCTTCAACGATTGGATTGAAGATACGTACAAAGTCACTGCACACGAACGAGTTGCGTACAAACATGAACAATCAAGACATTTTAAAGAATAATGGCACGCCCACTTTCCAGAACATGCTCTTGTGCTTAAGGTGACCATGCGCGCTCAATAATAACACCACCCTTTGCTTCATAATTGACTGTTTCCCAATCAAACATGGCGTTGCCAGGAATATTGTCGTCAAGCAGGGCGCGCTTCATTTCCTCCTGGGACAGCACCCTCTCCCACATCCTCACGTCCAACAGCTCTCCAACATAGGAGTCATTGATGTCAAAGCCGCCCCCCATGTTGTCTTGATCTTGACCGAGCACGATCGATGAGTCTGCGCTGATGGAGTATCCTTTCTTCAGGCTCCTGGGCGGTAGACGTTTTCCGTTCACCCACAACCTCGCCAGCCCTGTGGCAGAATCCCAAGACGCACACAAAGTCTCTCTTTCAAGCGACTGTTTTTCTGGGGTCAAGAAGGTCACTGCTTCACTTCCCACGTAGATGCTGTATTGGTTGGGTTTGTGCTTGTAGATGATGATATCGTTGTGGCTGTTCCGGGTGGCATAAGAGAACAGGCTGTAAGCACGGGTCAGGTCCGTGTAATGTTTCAGGCACACGGTGAAGGCGGTCAACGGCTGCTTCAGGGAGGCCTTCAAAACCACATGGGCTTTATTCGATGCTTGCGCGAAAACGACTTGCTTCCCAGAGAGGCCTGAACCTGAAGGAAGAGGAAGGAGGAAGAGAGAATGTCACAGCTTTCTTCAAAACTTATTTAAAAAAGTTTTTTATTAACAATTTCAACATAACAAATTATCAAAACAAATCATCTTCATTATTCCCCTCTTTTTCCCCTCCCACCTCCCCAGCAAAACCTCCTTCCCTCAGCTCCTCTCTCTGATTTCTCAACCTATGTTAACCTCTGCATATTGTAAAATTGTATACATCCTTATATTATATATCTAATATATTATCCCTCAGTAAATTTGTGTATGTTTATTCAAAACCTGCCAAGGAGTCCAGTTCATTTTGTTGTCTTTTTAGATAATTTATAAAAGGCTCCCATTCTTCCTTAAAGTCACAGTTGTCTTTGTCTCGCAGTTTGCATGTCAATTTCGCCACTTCTGCATAGTTCATCAATTTTTCTTGCCACTGTTCTTTTGTCGGGGTTTCCTCATTCTTCCATCCTTGTGCAATCAAGACTCTTGCCACTGTTGTAGCATACATAAATAAATTCTTTATAGCTTTCTTTAAAACTTTTCACCTGAGCAGGTGCGACAAAGGGGAGATGCTCAAGAGAGCCTCTCACTTCTCCTTCGTTGCTCAGCTGCAACACAACAGCCCTGCAGTGCTGCCAGTGGGTTTTCTTCTCCGGTAGTTGCTGCTGTGACCCTCCTCCTTGCTCTTGCAGACCCAGATGGGAGGGGACTTGGCATGCACCAGGGCAATGACATGTAAAAAGGTTCTGAGCCAGTGCCCCAGCACTCCTCAGGTCAAACCCCCCTCCACCCAATGCTTATGTGGCTTATGTGTGTTTTCCAAGTGAAATGGTCCATGCCTTGCTCCTTCCCACCTCACTGTCAGAGACTGTGCTGAGGAGGGCTGCACTGAGGAAGGAAAGTGGGAGCCACTCCCTCCCCCTGATCCTGAATCTTCCCAGGAGCAGGAGGACAGTATAGGTTTGGAACAGCGGTGTGCAGAGGGGCACAGTTCAGAAGGCAGAAGCTGGGAAATACTGGATAGGGAACAGCTAGCAGAAGAAACACTGGAAGAGAGAGAGTTAACAGATTCAGTCTCTGAACAGCATTCATCCCCCACCCCCCAGAAAGTGTCCGAACAGAAAGGGCAGAGGGTACAAACTCAGATTACAAGACGTAGGAATGACATAGATTAATAGGGACCGGCGGGGTGACCCTTAATTGGGAGCACCGCCATTTCTAGGAGACGTGTTCTTTGTTCTCTCGCTGTGATTATTAAAGATTCTAACTGGTAAGACGTTCCTTTCGTTTGATCTTCTTATCTGCTGCCATGGGGGGAGGAAGTCAATTCCCCAAAGCTTGACACCCACCTCCCTGGTCACCTACTTGCTGGCCAAAAGACTGACAGGCATTGAGGAGGAGGAAGAAGAAGAAGAAGAGAAGCATCTTCATGTTGGCCGTCTGCAGAATGAACCAAGGCAAGGCAGAAGAGGTGTCAAGAAATGGACTTGGGATGGTCTCTCGCTCTGGAAGAGGAAGAATCTTGCTTGAGAGCTTCAGGCTCCACGCAAAATATACCCTCGAGCTGCGAGGGGTGTGGAAGCATGTTTAGGAAACTCCTTTCCCAGGAAAGATTGCCTAATAGTTGCATCTGATGCTTCCTCCTTTAAAATTCTTCAGAAAAAGAGGTTATAAAGCAAACTGCACATAAGATAAAAAGTAACTGAGCCTGTAGCAGGTGGGGCCCTTTCTGGAGATAGTAGAAATGGCCACACTTGCACACTTAGCGTATTTTTCGCTCTATAAGAGGCACCAGACCATAAGACGCACCTAGTTTTTGGAGGAGGAAAACAAGAAAAAAAAATATTCTGAATACCAGAAGCCAGAACAGCAAGAGGGATCTCTGCTTTTGCTGCGCAGCGATCCCTCTTGCTGTTCTGGCTTCTGGGACAGCTGCGCAGCCTGCATTCGTTCCATAAGACGCACACACATTTCCCCTTACTTTTTATAAAGGGGAAAAGTGTGTCTTATAGAGCAAAAAATACGGTACATTGCTGAAACACAGTCTATGTGAAGGTTGTTGAATCTTCTGCAATCCCTGGGGTTCTCCTCCTGTTTCTCAGATTTTTTTTTTGATTTTTTTTAAAAATTACTATACTGCTTTATATTTTTAATAAAAAATCTCAAAGCGATTTACAGCATATTAAAACAATTAAGGAGCCTCTTTTGTAGGGCTGGTGAGTTTGGGTCCTTCCCCCTAGGCCAGGTGGAAAGGGCCTTGCAGGAAGCGACCTTCACGCCTCACAGCTGGGCGATTTTGCCCCCATTTTCTGTCAAACCTCACTGCATGAGTTTGATATTAGATGGAAACGACACAGTGACATATGAAGTCAAAAGCTGAAAAGGCGGGAAAAAGGGTTGTGAATAAGGAGAAGCATGGGCAGCATTTTTTTTTTTAAAAAGCATATATATTTTATTGATTTTTACTATGCTCGGTCCTTGCTCCTGCCAACCTAGCAGTTCGAAAGCTCGCTAAAAAGTGCAAGTAGATAAATAGGTACCGCTCCAGCGGGAAGGTAAACGGCGTTTCCGTGCGCTGTTCTTGTTCGCCAGAAGCGGCTTTGTCATGCTGGCCACATGACCCAGAAGCTATACGCCAGCTCCCTCGGCCAGTAAAGCGAGATGAGCGCCGCAACCGCAGAGTTGTCCGCGACTGGACCTAATGGTCAGGGGTCCCTTTACCTTTATACATACTCACATATCACGATGTTGAAAACCAGATATTGCTCAGCACTGCTCTATATCATAAGGATGAAGTGCTTACCCTGAGATAGATGAACTCACTGTGAACTTGATTCTTCTCCAAAGAAGCAATTGGGCAATTGTCGATAAAATATATCACGGTCACATTTGATTTCAAAAGAGGAACGCCCCCCCTGAACAAAATGATTGGTGAAAAGGAACTAGAAAGGCAAAGGGTCGTATCACTCCAAAATGCTTGGGTGTTGCTTCAAAACACAACATGGTGTCAGAAGTTCAATTGTATACTGCAGATTAAGAAAGGTACCATGAGGGCCAAAAGGACACTGGCATGGTGAAGAAGCAGAGTCAAAGAAGCTATTAGAGGCAAGAAGACTTGTCCAAATGAAGAGAACATAAAGGAATGCAACTTTGGCAGAAAGAACTGGGAAAGATATCTATAACTTGTCCCTCAGCACTGTGTGGATGGGGACCAGCGCTGGGGGGTCTTCTATGCTCTGAAGCTGCAGTAGCCACCCCCAGCTCCTCACAACAACCTGGAACAATGAACTCCTGCCCAGGAGCTTTCTGGCCCAGCAAGCTTTTAATAGCATTTGCTTGTGTTTTCTTCCTACTGCTGCCTGGTCAGCTTTCAAGTCTGGATCCACTGAAAGAGTTTGCAAGAAACTTCGCCTTCCAGTCTGGGTTTTGCTGGCCTTTCAGTCAGATTACTTGGCTTTGCACTATTCCAGGTCTGGCTAGAAGTGTGGAAGGATTTCTCTCTCTCTCTCTTTCTGTTTCTTTCCTTCTTGCTCCCCTCCTTCTTTGCTTTCTTTCCCTCTTACTGGAATGATCCCCTCTTCTCCCTCTGCATCTCTGTTCCATCTGTTTTGGTTATTAAAATCTTCTTTCCTTTCCTTTCCTTTCCTTTCCTTTCCTTTCCTTTCCTTTCCTTTCCTTTCCTTTCCTTTCCTTTCTTTGTTTATATCACATTTGTTTAGTTCAGAGGTGGGGAAGCTTTGTGACCCTGTGTGGAAACTGCAGTACAAAATGTAAAATGCCCATCTATCACTCTGCCCACTTTTAAAACCTCTGGTTCCGCCCACCAGCTAGGAAGTTTGCCCAAAAGGGAATGTGGAGCTCAGGCTAAAAAAGGTTCCTGACTCAGTTTAGTTATTCGTTCTGGGGGAATAGAAGGGTGGCTGTGATCACCTCTCCTGTAACAGAGGAAGGAATGTACTCCGGAATGAGTAACAAATGTGTACAGAATGGAATGCCAAGAAATAATACCCACTCCTTACTTGGGATGTGGGTGGCGCTGTGGGTTAAACCACAGAGCCTAGGGCTTGCCGATCAGAAGGTCGGCGGTTTGAATCCCCGCGACAGGGTGAGCTCCCGTTGCTCGGTCCCTGCTCTTCCAACCTAGCAGGTTGAAAGCACATCAAAGTGCAAGTAGATAAATAGGTACCCCTCTGGCAGGAAGGTAAATGGCGTTTCCATGCGCTGCTCTGGTTCACCAGAAGCGGCTTAGTCATGCTGGCCACATGACCCGGAAGCTGTACGCCTGCTCCCTCAGCCAGTAAAGTGAGATGAGCACCGCAACCCCAGAGTCGGCCACGACTGGACCTAACTGTCAGGGGTCCCTTTACCTTCACCTTACTTGTAATAAAAAATAAAACTGAATGGGCGCCATCTTACATTGGGGCCTTCCAGATATTGCTGAGTTACATCTCCCCCCAGCTAGCATGGTTGGTAGTCCAAGCTGATGGGATCTGCAGTCAAATCCCAAAGGTTCCCCAGTCTTTGTATACACTTAGTCCCTTCTATCACCAAAATGGTACCATTTACACCCAAGAGGGAAATATCAGCAGCATGGCCGGATTTAGGTTTGATGAGGCCCTAAGCTACTGAAGGTAATGGGGCCCTTTATATGTCCAGCTGTCCTTTGTCAACAACAAATTGCCACTGTCTTTTGTGTTGAATATATGCTATATGGTAATTTATGGACCTAATAGGTATCTAAAGCCATTTGCACATGTTGCCATGCAACCAGTCCATGCAGAATGTAGGCACCCTATGTATAGAGATGAGCAAACCAGTGATATTTTAGAGAGCAGGCTAGCAGGTGGGGCTCATTACTTACATCATAGGAGCCTACACAACACAAAACACTGTTGCTGTATGTAGGTTTTATTTTATTTGTTTTTTATCTTATATTTTGGAAATGTACATAGTTTTTTTTCCTTTAAATTTTTTTTGGGGCCCCAAAAGAGTGGGACCCTAAGCTATAGCTTGTTTAGCTTATACATAAATCCAGCACTGATCAGCAGGCTTACAGAGCCCCAAAGTTTGGATAAGTCCCCCCAAAAAACCCTCTTAGGAAACCTCTCATTTCTGCAGACACTCGCAAGCCTCTCTCCTCCATGCAGGTCAGGCAAGAGTCATTATCAAGAGTTCAAGGATACAGCAGCAAAAATGCTCCAGGAGGACCAGTGAGGGGGGGGGGGGCTGTAGAGTATTCCAAGGGCCAGAGAGAGAGAGAGAGACCTGGTCGCATTTGGCCCACAGCCCTGGTTTCCGACCCCTGCTGTACGTCATGTGATGCAGCAAAGGCTCAGCCAAGATTGTTGGCAGCAATGGAGTGGGGGGAGATAATAAAGAGTGTGTCTAACCAAGCATATATTTAGAGATGTTCAAATCCCTATCCCTGCCTCTTAAATCCCTGCTGTTAGATAGCAACCCAGGTTGTCATGTTGAAGTCCTCTATATATCCACCAGCAGGGGGCAGCACTTCTCCATCTGATCTCTAGATTGGTGCCATGCTGCCACAGTCATACATGGAACCCCAAAAGCTTTGCTGAAACTCAAGGGGGGGTCTTTCTCCATGAAGGGGGGGTCTTGCATCACTTGGCAATGTTGAAATCACATGGCATGTCATCTGCACATAACAGGCTAATGGGAGTAAGCTCAATTAAACACAAAAAGACCTCTGAACAGACATGTGGACTATTGTCACGTATGTTAATTGCACATTAAATTCTTATTTACCGTATTTTTCACTCTATAAGACACACCCAGCCATAAGACGCACCTAGTTTTTAGAGGAGGAAAATCGCTCCAGCGATAGCTGCGCAGCCTGCATTCACTCCATAAGATGCACACACATTTCCCCTTAATTTTAGGAGGGGAAAAGTGCATCTTATAGAGTGAAAAATACGGTAAGTGTCTGGACTCTTGGTCCTGTAAAGCAGGAGACATTCTGAAGTCTGTCTACAACATGCTGAGTTTCCATTTGCCTTTTTGTTTAGTGGGGGTGGGATTTCAGCAACACACACACACACACATTTACCGTGAATCTGCAGAAAATAATGTTACTTGCCACCCCAATCTCTGATAGGTGAGGACTTCGGGGACTCCTGTATTTACCCAGGTTTGGCTTCCTTGGAATGAAGGTCAACAGAGACTGTGGTGTCTTTAGGATATACGATTTTATTTACACATATATACATCCTAAGAATCAGACAGACCTTGCTTTGTCTTTAGGTTTTCCAGGGGTGACATGTCTCTGTGTGCCCCACCTTCTAACTCTCTCATGCAATTCAGTCTATTGTTATTCTCCCTATAAGCCAAGTGAGAGGCTGGGGGGAAAGGCCCACCCATTTTTGTTTTATGGCACAGGGCAACTTCTTTGGGTATGCTGAATTGTGGTACTTAAGCCAGCCAGCCAAAGCCGTTCCTTACCTTGCACATTCCACTCTCGCAAATACAGGATCGCAGGTTTGGAAGGGGACCCAGAGTTTCATCTAGACTGAAACCCCCTCAGCTAAAAAAAAACTTGTACGTGATCGCAAAATGCGATTCCATGAGCCAGAAAGGAAGGTATGAGGGAGGGGGAAAGAGCCTCTGCCAACCTGCCTGGGGTCTGGTGGTCCAAAGGCACGAGCAAATCTTCAGAATGAATAATCATCAACACACCTACTGTACATTATCCATCAACTGCTCCCCATTCTTTGGCTGGCTGTATGTGTGACACAAACACGTTCCAGGTTTCCTTACAATGAGAGGATTTTACTTCCAAAAAGATTTGGGCACTGTTTGTTTGGGATTCCTCAACAGAGCTGAGTGCAGTACTGGGTCTGAGGATTTACAAAAAGCCTTTATAGCCATTGGCAAAGAAAAGTCAGGGTTGTGCTTGAGAGAAGCAGCTATGTCTGCACTTTCCTTCCTTTGTGAGACTCAGAGGGATTTGGGGGATCAACTGAAAGAAAAGTACTTGGGTTACGCTGTGCCTAATGTATATTCTGCAACCCAGACCCTTCCTCTAAGAATATTCCCTTGGTAACATAGTTTTCTTCCCCTATCCTATCACTGAGTATGCTCTCTGGCTCAGAGCCAGGCGTTTTGAATGATATTTCTGCCAATTGTTTATATGGGCAACGCTGCATGTAAGGATTACAACGTAAGCTCCCAAAGGGCTACAGTAATCTCCATAAAACATACAAGGACATCAGTGAACTTTGGTACGAGTGCCAGAGAGGGGAGGGGGCCAATCTCTGCAAAAGACTTGCTGCCACCAGCAAATGCTTTTCCCTTGAAGCAGAGGTGCTGCCGAATTATGGTGCTGGAGGAGACTCTTGAGAGTCCCATGGCCTGCAAGAAGATCAAACCTCTCCATTCTGAAGGAAATCAGCCCTGAGTGCTCACTGGAAGGACAGATCCTGAAGCTGAGGCTCCAGTACTTTGGCCACCTCATGAGAAGAGAAGACTCCCTGGAAAAGACCCTGATGCTGGGAAAGATGGAGGGCACAAGGAGAAGGGGACAACGGAGGACTAGATGGTTGGACAGTGTTCTCGAAGCTACTAACATTAGTTTGACCAAACTGCGGGAGGCCGTGGAAGACAGGAGTGCCTGGTGTGCTCTGGCCCATGGGGTCACGAAGAGTCGGACATGACTAAAAACAACAACAAATATATGAGAGAGAGAGAATGAAATGTCCTGGACAAATCAATTGCCACCATGCACAAAGCAACCATTAAAGGTAGCCAGGTTTTAAATATGAGCATACCTGTTAAACTTCGATTCTCATTCACCCACAGACAATGACTGTGAAGATGATGCTTCTCCTTCAGTGGTCTAGAGTGTTGGCTACCTCCCTTCATCCCACCTTGACCTGCAAAAAAGAATTAGAGAAGCACATGTGGTCAACCCTGAGCTTTTCAGCGCTACATGTCAGCTTCATCAGCTGCGCATGCCAATGTCAAGCAATCCAATTAAGAATCGGGGAATTCCAGATGTGAAGTGTGAAGTGCATTTATGTTTTGCAAAGCATCAATGAAATTGGTATTTAAATACAGTGACCATCTCCTGAGGCCTTTCTTCATGTGCCACCTCTGCAAGAGGTCCAGAGGCTGGCAACACGAGAAAGGGATTTTTATCTGGTGGCTCCCCATTTGTAGAATGTTCTCCCCCGGGAGGCTCGCCTGGTGCCCTCGTTAAATATCTTTAGACACCGGGCAAAAGCATTCCTTTTCTCCCAGCCCTTTGCCTGATTCAGTCATCTGTGGCCTTTTAAACTGGGGCGGCAGAGGGTGGGGGTATTCTTTCTGTTTGTTACTATGGCATGTATTTTTGCGTTTTTATATTGTAAACCATCCTGTGATCCTTGGATGAAGGGCGGCATAGAAATTTAATTAATAATTTAATTATAATACTACTAATATAATAATAAAAATTTAAATTTAATTCAAATTTAACAATGTTAATAAGTTTAATAATAAATTTAATAATAATAATATGTAAAAACTTACTTTTTCCAAATGAACCATGTGTTCTCTGCTCATGTGTTCCAATATAATTGGTGGCAGGTGCTGTGATTTTTCCTTTTCCTTCTTTCTTGCGGGTGGTCTAGTCTTTATCATCCTGCTTTCCTTCACAGATCTTACTGCATTAATAACGTCGCAGAAATTGTCACTTGATGGTTTCTATAAATCCAGGACTGTCCCTGGGAAATAGGAGCACTTGGAGGGTCTGTCACTGCTTCCAGTGGGAGTGAGTTCCGCAGCTTAATTATGCGTTGAGTGAATAAGGACTACCCCCCCCCCCGCCGTCTGTCCCAAATCTTCCAACATTCAGCTTCAATGGGCGTCCTGCAGTTCTAGAGTTACTAAAAGGTAAAGGGACCCCTGACCGTTAAATCCAGTCGCGGATGACTCTGGGGTTGCGGCACTCATCTCGCTTTACAGGCCAAGTGAGCCGGCGTTTGTCCACAGACAGCTTCCAGGTCATGTGGCCAGCATGACTAAGCCGCTTCTGGCAAACCAGAGCAGAGCACGGAAACACCGTTTACCTTCCCGCCAGAGTGGTACCTATTTATCTACTTGTACATTGACGTGCTTTCAAACTGCTAGGTTGGCAGGAGCAGGGACTGAGCAATGGGAGCTCACCCTGTCACAGGGATTCGAACCACCAACCTTCTGATCAGCAAGTCCTAGGCTCAGGGGTAGGCAACCTAAGGCCCAGGGGCCGGATGCGTCCCAATGGCCTTCTAAATCCAGCCCGCAGACAGTCCGGGAATCAGCATGTTTTCACATGAGTAGAATGTGTCCTTCTATTTAAAATACATCTCTGGGTTATTTGTGGGGCACAGGAATTTGTTCATTTCCCCCCCCCCCACCAAAATAAAGTCCGGCTCCCCACAAGGTCTGAGGGACAGTGGACCAGCCCACAGCTTAAAAAGGCTGCTGACCCCTGCCCTAGGCTCTGCGGTTTAGACCTCAGCGCCACCCACGTCCCAGTTTCTAGAGTTACGGTACTAGAGAGGGACTAAATCTTTTCTCTATCTGCTTTCTCCCTGCCATGCACAATTTTATATACTCCATGCATCAATAGGAGTATAGCATCTAGATCAAGGGAAGTAATAGTGCCACTGTATTCTGCTCTGGTCAGACCTCACCTGGAGTACTGTGTCCAGTTCTGGGCACCACAGTTCAAGAAGGACACTGACAAACTGGAACGTGTCCAGAGGAGGGCAACCAAAATGGTCAAAGGCCTGGAAACGATGCCTTATGAGGAACGGCTAAGGGAGCTGGGCATATTTAGCCTGGAGAAGAGGAGGTTAAGGGGTGATGTGATAGCCATGTTCAAATATATTAAAGGATGTCACATAGAGGAGGGAGAAAGGTTGTTTTCTGCTGCTCCAGAGAAGCGGACACAGAGCAATGGATCCAAACTACAAGAAAGAAGATTCCACCTAAACATTAGGAAGAACTTCCTGACAGTAAGAGCTGTTTGACAGTGGAATTTGCTGCCAAGGAGTGTGGTGGAGTCTCCTTCTTTGGAGGTCTTTAAGCAGAGGCTTGACAACCATATGTCAGGAGTGCTCTGATGGTGTTTCCTGCTTGGCAGGGGGTTGGACTCAATGGCCCTTGTGGTCTCTTCCAACTCTATGATTCTATGATTCTATGATTCTATGATCTATCATGTCTCCTCTCACTCGCCTTTCTCTCAAAACTAGAATGTCCCCAACACTGCAGCCTTCCTTCACAGGGGAATCCCTCCAATCCCCCCCCCCCCGGTTAATTTTGGATCCCCTTTTCTGAAGCTTTCCCAGCTCTACAGTATCTGTTTTGAAGGGAGGCGACCAGAACTTTTTCGCTCCCTGCTCAGGTCTTTCCTTTCTTGGCTGGTAACTGAAAATCGAAAGAGCGTATGGGAGAATTAGCCAAGAGGCCTTGGAGATGCTGACTCTGCCAGACAGGCCAGGGACAGACAGTGGAAGAATCCCTGGCCAAGATCATTTGGGAACACCTCCAGCTTTTCTTCCCTGTCCTCTCCAGCATGGTCACGGGAAACTTCCCTGGGCCCATGCAAAGAAAGGAAAGGAAAATGCTCACATCCCAGTCCTGTATCCCAGAGAGATCTAGCATTGCAAAGCCGGTTCGTTCGGACTAAGAGAGCAGCTGCATGCTGCAGGTGACCCAAACACGGCCGGTCACCCACCCACCCACTGCAAGGGCCTGCCCTGTCTCTGGGCCCCTCAATCATCTCTCTGTGTGGGTGTCGCAACTGCACAGGGATCTAACGCACACAGAAATCCGAGGCCAGGAGGCCCAGAACAGATTGTGTGGTCAAATCCCAGGTTTTATGGGAGATAACGACTGCCCAGTTTGAGCCTACACGTACTGGATTTTGGTTGCTGAGCCGTTGCCAGGAACTCCTGACCCTGAAAAAGACGAAAGAAGATGCAAACTTGCCTAAAATGCACAGGGGTTAATTTGCGCATGATTTGCACGTGTTGGTTTATAGCTGCAGATTTAGAAATAATTGTGTAAGTTTAAGTGGAAATGCAATACATCTCGCCACAGTGTGGAAGACGTTGTGACCTTAAGCAACCAACTTGAACAAAATATTGGGAGGGGCACCTGTCCACCCACACTTCTCCCCCTCTCCCCACACTTCTGCAGAGCGCACCTTCCTCTGCTGCGCACCACTGGGTGCAGGCATACTGTACATTTAATGCACATGTCTGTCCCCAAAGAATCCTGGGAACCGTAGTTTAAGGGTGCTGGGAATGGGGATAAACTACAGTTCCCAGGAAAATTGGGGGGGGTGAAGGGAAGGTCGCCATGTGCCTCAAATGTAGGGTGTGTACACAGCCTGTCTTGGGGTCCCAGCGAAGCCACACCTGGTCTAGGAAGAGCACAGCAGCTCCTTTGCAACACAGGAGGTTGGGGCCAGGCTCTCTCCCAATGTTTTGCGCTGCCAGAGATTTGCACCAAAGCAGCCCCCTCTCATGGCGCTGCCTGTGACCCAGAGGTGCGCTGCGGAACGAACACTCTGCTCAGACGCTGGGTCTCTGAGGAGGGAAGCAGGCAGAGCATGTGAGTACAAAGGACAAGGGATCGTTTTTCCATTTGACACCCCCCCCCTTAAAGAAAAGTCTCCTTTGGTCCCTGCTGAGCATGGGGGGGGGGGGAGACCAAGAACTGAGAGGACATCTTCCTTCTCTTCCTGGCCCTGCTCCAGCCCCAGAGGCCCAGCTGTGCCCCCCGCCCTCACTTCCGCGGCATCCTTTGACCACCCTGCCCCCGTGCCCCACAGCTGCCGTGGGGACGAGGTCCCAAGGGAGGCAGGATCCGGCCTGGCCTGCCCTCCCTTAGCCTTCCGCACATCTTATCCCTGGGAGAACAGGAAGTGAGACAGGGATGGAAGAGGCTGGGAACTGGGAGGCAGCTCAGCTGGGCTTCCAGCACCAGCCACGGGAGAGAAAGAGACAGCCTTTGCCAAGGAACAGGGAGAGGGACCTGTGTCCCCCTGGATCTCCCATCGGCCTCAGGTGGCACGGCCAGGAGTGGGGACAGGCTGGTCTGGAGGTTTGACTTTCTGGGGTAGCAGTGAGAAAAGAGGACGAATCAGTCTGCCTGCCCCATTCCGATCCCAGCCGTTGCTGCTCATTCAGCAGAGCAGGAGACTTCTAATCTCAGGGTCAAGGGTTCCTGCATTGCAGGCGGTTGTACTAGATGATGTTTGTGGTCCCTTCCAACTCTATCCTTCTAGACTCTCCTAGAACGAGCATCATTTTGCTGTCTTCAGGTCCCTCTGTTTCAAACAAGAGCCATAGCCCAGTGTCTGAGCACCTGCCTTACAACGCAAGTGGACTTCAGTTCAAACCTTGGCATGCCTGGGAATGTCCCCATCCCAAATCTATAGGGAGCTTCTGCCAGTTAGTGTAGACCTGGGAACGGAGAAATGATGTCGTATATTTAATCCAGAGGTCAGCCGGTCCACTGTCCCTCAAACCTTGTGGGGGGCCAGACTATATTTTGAAGGGGGGGGAAGAAAAAATTCCTATGCCCCACAAATAACCCAGAAATGCATTTTAAATAAAAGGAGACATTCTACTCATGTAAAAACACACTGATTCCCGGGCCGTTCGCAGGTCGGATTTAGAAGGCGATTGGGCCGGATCTGGCCCCCGGGCCTTAGTTTGCCTACCCATGACTTAATCAGATCATTGGTTAGCTTAGTATTGCCAGCACAGACTGGCAGAGAATCTCCAGGGTTTCAGGCACGGGTCTCTCTCATCCTTATTGGAGATGCTGAGGATTGAACCCAAGACCTTCTGCTTGCAAAGCAGACGCCCTGTCACTGAGCTACGCCCCTTTGCCAGGATGATATGGAGCTAGGGGAACTGGTGGTCTAATTCCTCGTGGCCAAAGCCCCATCTTCAGGAGGGGACCCACTGCCTCTCCCCAGAGCCTCCTAACTCCATTTCCCATTGCTGCTTCTGTCTGTCTGCCTGCCCTCTCCAAGTGCTCCACAGGAAGTGAGCTTGTGTGCAGTTCCGGAAAGGCAGTGGGCCCCTAGTGGTTAGAGCCAGCCAGGGCAATCCTCCCAAGCCAGAGGTGGGAAGGTGCATGGGAGTCCTCAGCGCACACAGAGACTCGGGTCAATGACAGCTCGTAACCCTGGCCACGCCGAAAGTTCTCCAGGCAGGCTGGACCCGAGCACCGCGGAAAGAGAGCGGGCCCAGCTGTTCCTCTGGGTCATCTTGGCTCATGGCCTCTGGAACAAAGAGCTGGCCCAGGGTGGGGCTCCTGCTGTGGGGACAGAAGGGATGAACTCATCAGATTCTTCCCGGGCTGACTCACCTCCCAGGGGGCGGGGCGGTGGGGGGAAAGCACAAGCCCTGCCCTTCACCCACATCCACCTGGCTCTAATCACAAGCTCTGAATGGCTTTCCCACACACCCACGGTGCAGAATGCAGGGCCCCTGACTGCATGGGCCCACGCAGGCACCCCCTCCGTAACCGGGATCTGCTGCACTAGCAAGCCTGACCCACAAAAGCAGAGGCCCTGCCAGAACTCTCCCCTTGTAAGAACCTAAGGAGAGGCCAAAGGCCAATATAGACCGCCATCACCATCCCCAGTCGGGTGCCCTTGGAAAGCCAACTAGCAGGACAGCAAAGCAACAGTCCTGGATGTTGCGTATTGTCAGGGACTGGTTGGATGCAGAGGAATGGCAGCAGGAATCGGCTGAGGAACCTCCAAGGGAAGGAGGCTCAGAGCCCGGGGGTGGGGTGGCAATGAGTGGTCAGAGGGAGAAGGGGGGGGGTCAGAAGCTGAAGAGGCACCAGGTTTTAGTGAGCAGGGAGAGTCTGTGGCAGAGAGAAGACTAGAATCAGAGGCAGAAGCTGAAGCAGGAGAGGAGGAAGGCCAAGAGGCAGAGATACATCAGCAGGGGTGTCTTCCCCTCCTGCTATGACAAGCTCCCCTTGTCCCTGGTCTCTCAGAACCAGGAGAGGCATGAAGAGGGAGGAGGAGGAGTTAGCTTCATGCAGGCACAGACTCAGATTGCTTTGGGGAAAACCCTAGAGAGGAGGGGACTTAGGCAGCGACCTTCAGTCGCAGCAACTGCTTCCTGGGGGGCAAGACTTAGTGGAAACAGGTTGCTGCGCTCATTAGGCCTGACTCCCCTGTTTTGCTAATAAAGAGTTAACTCCAACTTGCACGGTCTGATTTACTGCTGGGCTTGCTCCTGTCATCACGAAGGGATGGAGAAATTGTGGCCCATCATTGGACTCCAGGTCCCATCAGCCACAAACAGCATGATGGGAGTTGTAGCCCCAAAACACTGGAGGGCTGTAACGGCTAGTGGCCATTAAGAAAATTAGCTGTTGTGAATTTATCTAAGCTATAAAGCCATCCTGGGATTCCTGTCCAAGAACTGTGGGAGGGCCGTAGCTAAAGCCCAACCATTTATATGCTAATAGTCCTGGCCTCAAACCCTGGCATCTCCAGGTAAGCGTGTCTGGTGGAACCTAGGAGCCCTGCTGACAGCCAGTGTACCTGTGGCCTTCCAGATGTTGCTGGAATCCTTCGTCCCAGGAAGGTACCAGGCCGAAGACTCACAGTCAACACATTGCAGGGGGGTTGAGCCTTGGGGTCTCTTCCAACTCTGCAATGTTATGATTCTATGCAAGAGCCCCCACCTGCCACTTTGACCCATGACAACTCAGTACAGAGATGTTGACTTGCCACTCTTGAGCTCTGCTCCACACATATGAATGTGCCCATGGTAAACAGTGCCGCGGTGATTATAGAACAGGAAAGGGGAATCTGTGGCCCCCCAGGTGTTACTGAATTAATTACTCTGACCATAATCCCTGACCATTGGTGCTGCTGGTCAAAGTGGATGAAGACGACATCTTAAGGGTCCCTGGCTCCCTATCCTTGATATAGGAGGAAAGGTCCTTGATTGTAAAGGGGTTTGAAGGAAGTGAGGAAAGAAAGAAAAGATCATTACACCCAGATGCTATTTCCCCTATCCTGAAAACTCTTCCCTCTGATTCCACAGGTGTAGGGCCAGTGATGGAAAGCTACTCTGCCCATGCTCAGGAAACCCTCTGCTCTTGTGTAAGAGCCCAATGTTGTTAGCCTGACAGGTTCACAAGCCAAGCCCTACTTAATGCCACTGTCTGTTTCCAGCTCAGTTTTCTACCTAAAGTTTCAGCATGGATATTTGGCGGTTAATTATGGATATTTGGCTCAGCGGCTAATGAGATGGGCTTGGGGCTCAGACCAGCATCCCTTTACTCTTCAGTTCCTGAAACATGGTTGTGTTTGCGCCATGGTGCAGAATAAAAGCTCTGCACATGTTTGAGGCCACTCTCTTCTTTGTTATGAATTTGCACTCTGTGCTTGCTCAGAGATCGAGCCGCCCTTGACGGTTGCGCCATATGATTCCCAGCTTTGAAACCAGTTTCCGGAGTTGGTGACATTGCTCCCTCTCCTTCGAAGCAGCAGAACCTGAACGGAGTGCACAGACAGCACATTTTTTGACAATGCCAACTCTGCTTCCCAGATGTTACTCAGACTGTTTCCAGTCATCTGCCGGTTAAATTAGCTGCAACTGAGCTCTGAGCTTCAATAAATTCTTCTACTGTGGACCAGCCCTTAGAGAATACCCGCAGGGCCCTTCCAGAAGAGTCACGAAATCTCTGGCTGCGTGGATCGGGGCTTAGCAGTGTACCTTCCCACTCTTGTTGGGACCCCAGGTTGTGTGACACTCTGCCTCCCCCCACATACACCCCTCTTTCTCTGCACAGAGAGCCAGCGAGAACAGAACTGAGGTTCCTCATTCACATTTCACATCTTTAGGCCTTGTGTGTTTTCCTGTTTGTTCCTTGCTTGTATCTACTAAGTGTATGGGATGAGATCATACAGTCCCCATCCAATTCCACTTTGCATCCATTTGAGGTCCAGCCCTGATTGCAAAAGCCTGCAGATCTCCACCCCTTTAGAGCTGACAAAATAATGCACATTTTGCCCAGGTTTCCCACCCTTCCTTGTGTGTGTGTGTGTGTGTGTGTGTGTGTACGCACGCGCTTGTGTGTGCGCACAGCATACATTTAAAAAACATTTAAAGCACACACATGCATGCATGCACACACACACACAAAACCAAGTTTGTGTGTGCTTTAAATGTATGCTGCATACGCAGAATTACCACTCACATTGCTACAGTTCCCAGCACCCTTACCAAACTATCATTCCCAAGATTCTTGGTTGTGTATATGCTTTAAATGTCCTTTCAATGCATGGTGCGTATGCAGCCTCCGTGTGTGTGTGTGTGTGTGGTTTAAGTGAGACGCAGCTGCAAACCCTGTGATTGCAACTTTACTGTGTCAAGCTGCCACGATTTATTGATTTGTTTATTTCATTTTTATCCCACCCTCCTTCCAAGGAACTCAAGGAGCTGCACATGGTTCTTCCTCGCTCTCCATTTCACCCCCACAGCATCCCTGTGAGGTGGGTCAGGTTAAGAGATTGTGACTGACCCAAGAGGCATGACCAGAGTTCTGGGACAAATCCCAGCCGGCCATAAACACTCGAGGTGCAAAGGGCCCCTGAGGAGTCCTGGAGAGCAACTTCCAGCCCTTGTAGACAATACTGAGCTAGAGATGGACTCTGCAGGAGGAAGAACATGCTTGATCACAAAGGTACAGCTCCTCTCCTAATCCTGCCAGCGGTGACCCCAACATCCTGAAGCAAGAGGTTCCAAAGGTCAATTCTGCAGTGCAATCTGTGGCTAAGTACTTTCCAAAGGACCTTTCCACTGGAGAAACATCATGTCAATCATTTTAAAGCTGCACTGTTTTGCTCTTTGACTGGGTTGGTGTTGTTGTTTTGGTGGGGTGGGGATGGGGAAGAACTCAGGCTGGATCTAGACACATCCAAGAAGCGTTTCAGATAAACGAGTTGCAAACTTTGTATGAGAAATCGGGTTAGCAAAAAACAGAACTCCACAGCGCCATCTCTTGTCGCAGTGTTAGAATGCATAAACAAGGCATATAAAGCGCTCTTTCTTTGCCAGTCTCCTGTTCTGCTGATAACCCTCCCTTCCCAGTCTGTCGCCCTGACCCCAGCAACACTGCAGCCCCAGCTTTTGGCTCGGTAGAGTCTATGATGCTGGGAATGATGATGCATCAGGTACCCCACCCTTTTCACATGGGGTGGGGGCTGCCTTGCTGATGCTTGAAAGGGCTGGAGCTTCTCTGGACTGGTGGTCATGTTGGGAGGGATGCAATCTGGGTCTGTGGACATCTCTGGCAGAGAATCAATCCAAGACTCAAAAGGCAAGAGGTGGAGAAATTCAGTGACGAGAACTTGGGTGGGATGGAGGCAGAAAGAGGGATCCATGCATTTGGGGGCTTAACCCTAACATGGAGTGAACCATTTTGGCTCTATTTACTTTGCATTTGGGTTAGGATTTTCCTGAAATAAGGGTCTGCCAGGCTGAAATAAGAGTCACAGCAGGCAGAAATTCAAGAGGAGAAGCTGCCCTCCCACTCCAGTTAATTCAGCTCCACACTTTGGGGAAAGTAAAACCTGTTACAGTGGTACCTTGGGTTACATACGCTTCAGGTTACAGACGCTTCAGGTTACAGACTTCGCTAACTCGGAAATATTACCTCGGGTTAAGAACTTTTTTTCAGAATGAGAACAGAAATCGTGCTCCGGCTTCTGAAATTTGAGCCCCAACACCTCTTGCAAACTAAGAACGGAGGAGGGGGGAGATTCCTTGGCACACAGTCCCCACCCTTGAAAAGTAAAGATTCACTCCCCTCTGAAAAAATACCCTCCAGTCCAAGACACAC